GCTGTTAGTATTATTTTTTACAAGTCTTTGGTATGACTCGACTGGGGTTCAAACCAACAACCTCCTGCATCCAAGGCAGACACTCTAACCACTAAGGCCACCAGATTGGTCTCAAAAACAAATAGGAGCCTTGTGCTAGTTGCAGCAGGTAGCCAGTTGTCCCATGGTCATATCTTATTTTGGATTCAGAAGTAAACTATACCTTATGCTAGGAGGTGTTTTTACAGAGCACAGAGACAAAAGAAGCAACAATTATACTGTAGCCAGAATAGTGTTGACCCTTTATTATGCAACCCCTAGGGTAGAGTAGGGACATGAGATTGTGCATGTGTGTGTGTGTATGTGTACATTTTTCCATTTTTGTTTCAGGGTTTCCTAATTTCAAAATCAATTTGTTCTTTGAATATTTTATCAATTTTTAATTTTCGGTTAGATTATTAAAGTGACCAAACATTTTCACTGAACAGACTTGAATTTGAGCCATTTCAGACATTGTCATTCAGCTGAATTCAGAGTCATATACCAAAGCTTTATCATGCTCATGTCTTTATTATTATAAAGGCTTTACTTTAAAACATTTCTTCTGTTCATTTCACTTCTGGGTAGTGGCATTGTTTGACTGATAGAACTGACACCAACTGTTTGGTAATTATCAAAATTGTGCATTCATTTTTAGGTTTGTAGGGATTTATCCAGTGCAAGCTTATGGCATTATGTCTGATCTCTGTTGCTCCGAATAGTTTGTAGTTCTAATTATGGGCACTTTTCTATATTTCACTGTTATAAATTTGGCCTTGAAAAGTGAGCCTATATACTCAAGGTGATAACACCTCTTGCAACAGTTTGGTAGTACTTAGAGTTGTTTTAATAAAAAATGATCATGAATGATAATTGTTTAAGTGAGATAAATAGAAGAAAATTCAATTTGAAATTCACTTTTATATTTTTATTGGAATTGTATTTGAGATCATGAAAAGAAACACAGTTATCAATATCTCAAAATTTATGTGCTTTTTTTTATCCTGTTTAATGTATTGTATTTTCCTAACCCTCCATACCATCAGTATTGTTAATACTTTGATTGGATTAGAAATTAAAAACTGTCCCTGCATACTTATGTTGTTAGTTAAAGCTATGACTTTTGTAACTTAAAGCAGAATAAGTAAATCATTCAATTCATTGGCACAACAACAAAACAGCAGAGACAAAAATTATATGCCTTACTTATGAACTCCTGTTGACTTTTCTAAACTTGCTGAAAAGAGGATTTGATGAATTTGAAATCCAATCTGACCTTTCCCCTGCCTTATCTTCCATTTTTGTTGCACTAACTGTGCAAATTTAAATTTGAAAATTACTTTAAGAAGTACTAACATTATATCATTTATTGCTCAAACAGGAATGGACTTGAATCATGACTACACCGATGAAATCATTTCCAAGATTAGATCAAAGTTGATACCCTTTCATGTCAACGGAAGTACAGTTCATTGAACAGGGTGGGATTAATAATAGATTAACCATTCCAAATAGGTTTACCATTCTAAAATTACCAAACAGGAATTAAGGTGACTGTGTTTGTCAAACAATGAAATGAAAGTAGAACAAAATTAAATTTTTTATTAGTAATCACTTACTGAACATAATTTGGGATACTTCAGCATGATAGACTTCTTTAACAGTTTGTAAGTTAAGTACACCGACTCTTTAGGGCAACATTTATAAAGCCCTTTCCTTATGGTCAGAGAAGAAATATATATTAAAAGATTGGTCAGAAAAAAGCAACCAACCAATCATATGATTATGATTTTTAAATAATCATTATAAAAGAATAAATTTGTCTTCTGATTATACACCTTTAATTTTAATGTTTCCACTGCATTGTATATTACTTTACACAGTGGAATTTCAGACATTTATGCTTACTGGTATTCAGCCAATTAAAGTGTTTGTAAGACAATGTTGGTGGCAGTGATGATACCATAGGTCTGTACTAATTTACAAGACTAGTCTAACTGCAATCTGCACAGACTCAGATCTGATGCATAATGCACTGGTAGAACTGGGTCTGTGCAAATTGTTACAGTAATCAGTAGAACAAACAAGATGTACCTTGATCTGCAGGCTCATTATGCTATGGAAGTTTGGGGTCTATGTGGGGGTGGTGTAGTTTTGATGGGACTTGTAAGCATAATGAGATCTGGTTAATGTTCTCAAAATCATCACTCAAAACTGTATGATTGACAGAAATGCTTAATGCATGGACTCATGATGTTTTTAGGTAAGGAGGTAGGGCATTTAACACTTGTTAGAACATACTGCAAGTTTTTAAAGAATTTTCTTCTGCTTTTTTTTCCTAATAAAAAATCATCTTCTACTTCTAGTAAAGCTAAAAGTTTTAAACTTTTATCAGTAAAGAAATATCATTTTCTTTTTTGAACATTTTTTATTTTGTGGTTCAAAATTTGTTTTGTTTTTTTATTATTTGGTGTTTGCTGCATCATAAAGCAACACAAGTCAGTTATTTAGTGCCAAGTCATTTGAGTAAGGTGATAGTCCAGTAAAAAAACTTTGGTAGCCTATCTATGATGATCTGATGGAAGGATTGGAACCCATTCCCTTTGGATCACCAGCCCTGCATGTGGCTTCAGTCTCCATTTGTCTCTTGTGAGGTGCAGGAGGGCGCATAATTGCTCTTCTAAATCCCCAAGCCAGCTTGTTTGTAACTCCTGTCTTTTTAAAGATTGGACAAACTGTCCTATTGAATTTGCCTACACTTGGATATGTAAGAGAGATCACAAATTTCCACATTAGTTGGTTAGGACATGCCCTGAACAGATCTGGGATAAGGTAAATAAATGCTGAAGTTGCACTATTCAAAGGAAAAGCCATGCTGCTTTTGTTTGACTTGTATCTGTTCTTATTTACCACAGATATATTTGCAAATTTCCAAAACCTTTTATGTGTTTTTGTTAAACCAAAGACCTTTGTGATGGTGAGAGCCAGACGGACATCTTGGAATGGCCATGCATAAGGGGTTATAATGAGAAAATAACCAATACAAAGTGCAGTTTATAGACTTGCAAAAATTCAATTCCCTCTGTATAATGGGATCCATTACAACTCCATCTGTTTCATGAGATCCATCTTGACTTCCTCTATATAATGGGATCCATTACAATTCTCTGTGTATACTGAGATTATAATGATTCTCTCTATAATGGGTTTCATTAAAATTCCCTTTGTATAATGGGATCCATTATGATTCCTTTTGTATAATGGGATCCATTACAATTCCTTCCCTCTATATAATGGGATCCATTACAATTCCCTCTATATAATGGGATCCATTACAGTGCCTTCTGTATAAAAAAAAATGAGAACCATTATTATTCCCTCAGTAAAATGGGTTACATTACAATACCTGCCTTACATCAGGGATGGCATTATATTGATGCATCTCAGATTAAGGGAACACTTTACAAACAGGTATTGTATTTAGACATGTATCTGTCCTAAAGGACTAAAAAAAACCAGACTGAGTAGGAGTGTGTAGGAAATATTCATGAAGTGTGCTCTGACATAATACCTATTTTTATAAATGAATCACCTATCTCAAGTGTAAGTTATCATTTCTCAAGATGACCTTCAAATTCTAGGTTGAAAGTATAATAAGTACTCGTTTAAGTTTCATTTTAGCAGTATGTCCTAGGGGTGAAAGACCCCAGTTGATTGATCACCAACATGATAGTTGATTCATTTGTTGTCTTTTGTTTTCTATAAACTTTAAACTTTTTTATGTGAATGTGGTTAGGGCATGTACAAAGAGACAAGCCTGCTAATTGGCAATGATGCTTCATGGTCGTTAAAATATAGTCTTAGTCTTGGTTCATGCATAAACTTGTTAATTGTTCATGAAGGTCACTTAGGGTAAAGCACATGGCAGATCATTGGTAATTGGTCAATTTGAATAAAATTAATGGGATTTTATTTACCATTTCTCCTTTTGTTCTTAACTTAAGTTTATTTACTTGTGACTGGTATCAACAACAGTACATAATTATCTCTTTGAAATTTGCTTACAAACTGGACTGTCTTGCTGTTAAAACATGCTGACCTGAAAAATATTTAATCTTTTTGTAAATGATTAGGCTAAGAATATTTCTCCTCATGAATTATGTTTGTAAATAATTATGAAGGAACTAAAAGAATGGTATTACTGTATGGTATTACTGTACAAACTCACTTATAAAACTAATCATACTGCAAACTGCACTGACCCAAATATACTGTTGCATAATACACCATCAGATCTGCATTAGAGCAAATTCTAAACGAAGTATGATACATATGGATCAATATTATTTGCAGTTGGACTTGACTTATAAGTGAGTATATGCAGTATTTATTTTAACACAGAATTATAAGAATTACCAAGAAAAAAATGTTGGCTGTAGAGAAATGTTGGCATGGGTAAGTAGAGTAGGAAATAAAGCAACCCTAATTAAAATAAGAAAATTGTAGATGAGATTGTTCATGTCCATACTTTTTTTCTCACTTTTATAACATGAAGGACTACTGTAAAATGCTCAGCATAGGGTTCCACACATACAAAGTCACATACACAGTATATAATCACATATAAGTCAATGCAAACTATAAAGATCCTTATCTTTGATATAATGTGCCAGCCTCACGGCATCAAAAATATTTTTTCTTCCTTGGCAACAGTTTGGACTGTGATTCATTGCACCTACCTCCAAGGGATGGAACTAATGAGGCTAACTTTGTATATATGTTCATTGTATATTCTTTGTGAAGTTACTGCATTTATTTGGGATTTGTTCTGCATACTCTATATATACTGTCATGCCTAGAGTCATTAAACTTTGGTACATTTGTCTTGGTGAGATCAATACCCACAAAAAAAAGATCTCACAATGACCCATATTTCGTGTTATGTTTTACACTTTAAGTTTACTTTTCAAGCCCTTGCTAACCACTTCGGTGGCCTAGTGGTTAGAGCATCTGCCTCAGATGCGGGAGGTTGCAGGTTCGAACCCTGCCTAAGTCATACCAAAGATTTTTAAAAAATGGTGCTAACAGCTGCCTTGCTTGGGGCTCAGCATTAAGAGTAAAGTGTTAGGACTGGTTGGCCTTTTGTCTTGATAATGTGACTTGGTGGGACATCATTCCACTGTCTGCAGCATGATGTTTGAGTGCTAGACATCACTATAAACTGCCACAAACATTGTAGCAATATGACTGAAAATTTGTTAAAGCTACATTAAAAATCTAAATCACAAACACACACACACACATACACACACACAAGCCCATGCTAGAATCATCAAACTAAAATATTGTATTCATATTTGTCTGTACTCTCACAACAAAAGGTGACAATGACCTACATTCATATTTTACAGGTTAAGGTCAGGTTTTAATGGTGGGGTGCATTTCAATATTACTACACCATTGTAGCAAAAGTATGTAACTGATCCATAATTTAAATTTTACCGACTTCAGTTCATATTTGCATTTTAACAAGTCATATTAGAGTCTTTGAACTTAATGATTGTATTCATCTGTATTACTACAAAACGAATACAAGAGGCCCAAGTGGTCTAAAATGCTCACCATTACAAATCACTGTCGATTCTCACCTCTGTCAGCGTGGGTTTAGGTCTCGGGCTGAGTCATTGTGGGTATGTGAGAAAGCTTGCCAGTAGGTTCTTCTGTGTCAGTGGTTCTTGCTTGGGTTCTTCCTCCACCATTTATGCTGGCTGCCATGTATAGCCTAGCTTGTGCTGGAGAATGGCATAAAACCATAACGCCAATAACAACAACAACCAAACCCATACCAATAGATTACTGTGATACAATTCTACATTTCAAATTTGTAATGGCTTAGTGTAAGTTTTTGTGTTTATTTCATGACTATTTAAATGTTTTTGCATGCTATGCAGATACTATTTTTAGAATCCTTAAATTTGGTCAAGAGATTCATCTGATTGAGTACTACTCTATCAGTGTAGAAGGGGTTTATTTTGATCCTACTTTATTCTTCACTAACTTTATGAAATTGATGTGCATTGTTGGTTAAAATTTTGCATTTAACTCACGAAGGTCCCAAAAAATGTTTCTGCTTGGCCAGCTATCCTCATTTTTCCATGCCAACCATAACACATTTTTCTCTCGGGTAATAAAAAAGATTTTAAAAACAATGTTTTTAAATTCCTGAAATTGATTTGTAGGTCTTATTGACTAATTAAGTTGGTTTATCCAAGTACTTGAAGTGCTTATTACAATATATATATATATATATATATATATATATATATATATATATATATATATATATATATATATATATGTTTTTAAAAAATAGTACCTACCTACCATAATTTTAAAACCAGTGCAATGGAAAATGTGACATTTTTTGCCTGGTGACCACACTAGCTTTGGGTACATGCCAACTCTTCTGCAGAGAATGATTAAACTTGGTGAGTGGATGGCTCAGGCATGTATTTCTTGATTAAGTAACATTTAATTGAATTTGTGATTAAAGGTCAGTGATTGCATATTTTTAATGTTAGAATTTCAAAACTTGACAATTAGTTTGATGTCTACAAGTATGAAACCTCCCATCCATACAAGATCACTGTGTTCTTTATTTTATGCTTTACAAACATAAGTTTAGCTCATGATCACATATTTTTCAATGCTGTATGTTTCCAATGACTTTTCTGACAAGTAGGAATAAATATGTTTAGTCACTGGTATACTTTGTAAATGATACATTGTATTTTGTAACAGGAAACTCTCAACAGGATAGTTGTGTATATTATACATTCATATATACATTCAAACAAGTTTAGAATTAGAGAAGTGGACTTGTGCATAAATGGATTGCATAAGTGGACTGCATGCATAAACTAACAACATAAGTGGACTGCATGCATAAACTAACAACATAAACTAACAACATATAATGGTATTCATACTGGTTTTCCTCCAAAATTACTCAGGATGACTTAACTATGTAAAATCTGTCTTCTGTAAAATGACATTAGCTTCAGAAGCAGGTCTTAAAAGCATGGATTTTTTTAAAAAAAATTAATCTTCAATTTATCATAACTTGGTATTATCAGTTTTTCATAACTCGGGATTATACCTCTGTTTCAACCGCTCCAGTGACCTAGTGGTTAGAGAATCTGCCTCAGATGCAGGGGTTATGGGTTAGATCCCTGGTTTGAGTCATACCAAAGACTTAACAAAAATGGTACTAACAGCTTCTTTTGATGCTCTGCATAACAGGTTAGTGTTAGGACTGGTCAGCCTAGTGTCAGGATAATGTGACTGGGTGAGATGTCATGTTACATGTCTTCGTATGATGCCCCAGTGCTAGACAACACTATAAACTGTCACCCTGCAGACTTTGTAGCAATATGACTGAAAAATTGTTAAAGCTATTTTAAAAATCATTATCATAATCACATACCTCTGTTTCAGTATAATAGAATAGTCTTTCTTATTGTTTTGTTGTCTTCTGTCATATGGGCCAACATTTCACCAGCGTGATTATTTTTAAGTCAGACTTTATTTTCAGCATGATGAAAAATGTTTTAAATGGCTGCTGGAGACAACTGAAACTACATAGTTGTTCATTACATTTTGGTTTGGTTCTTCTGACAGCGCTTTGAGTTCTTATTTGGGTGGATATTATACATTAATTATATTGTTATAAATAAACATATATATATAATTATATTGTTGATCATGAAAAAAGATCACCTGAAAAAATTTCAAGTCTGGATATACAAGTAATGAATTTTACCAGATACTTTCTATTCACACAAAAAAAATTATTTTGACCACATCATCGTACGTTTGTGATTTAAAATTCTATCAGTATTTAATATGTTGTGTTTGCACGTCTCTCCCAAGAATTTATGCAGAAGCAGAAATTTACAACAGCTTATACAAAAGACAGTCTACATAAAACCAAGTAAAATAAAGGCATTATTTCCAACTTATAAAAGTCAAACATTTTCTGCATTCTTTCATAAATTTCTGTTTCATCATAAATATTAAAAACTTGAGACATTAAAGGACTACAAAAATTTCCTGTCATAAACAGAACACATTTGATGTTTGTATTTGATGTCAATAAGGAAAATGGGTAAACATTGGCCAATTTCAAATAAAAAGACAATGAAAAACAGACAGACATAAATCTTGAATGTATTGTTAGAGGGTGAATCTCTAATTAAGCGATTCTACCAACCTTGATGAATCCACTCAAATTTGCTTGCAACAAAGATAAATTGTATTTTAAACCAATTAATGTAACATGATCATTCACAAACCCAAAGTGCAAGTATTGTTCATTTTCTTACAAAATAAAAAATGTTTTTATGCTTTTTGCCAAATGTGCCTTTTTCTAGTAATTAGTAACATACCTAAAATTTTACAATAAACTTTTCTGCAAATAGAATGAAGGAGTGAATTTATGACACTTTTGTGTTGCATGTGAAGCAGAGGCAAGACAGTCTCATTTCTGTTATTTTCATTGCTAGCATAGGCATCTGTGTTCAGATTTTGCATTTAGTTTAGTGTTGTATGTATCTTCATGAAATTTTATGGTTGAATTCTTTGTAGATTGTACTGCTCATCAGAGGCAAATGGTCACAATGACCTACTTTTCAAACTGTAGTGGTGATTAGTTTTAGCCTTTGCATTCAGTCCAGTTTCTCTTTGAAATATACTTGTGTATAATTCAGATCTTATTGCTAGATGTGTGATCATTAAAGGCACTGACAGATCTAGTCCTATGCATTTTGTTAGGATTATTATGTAGAGCAATAAACATAGACCTTGATATGCTGATTTATTACATGATCACTCCAATGAAGCAAGCAAGACATTTCTTTCAGCAAAATTCTTATGGAATTTTGTCATTATATTGTGAAAAATACCAAGTTGTCTAACCACTTCATGCTGTAATTCAGACAGATATTTATAAGGATTCACAGATTGCATAACTCTTGGATTGATTGGCAGTTCAATGAAAGTTTGAATATGCATTCATTTACATCTGTCAGTGATGACTGATAACAGATGGACCAACCTGGTGATTTTTTCATTTGCCCCTGAACAGTGCATTTTTTGGACTATGGACTGCTCTGTGGCCTAGTGGTCAGAGTGTCTGCCTCAGATGTGGAAGGTTGTGGGTTTGAATCCCAGCTGAGTCATACCAAAGGCTTATTTAAAAAAAAGTGGTACTAATGACTGCCTCACTAGACACTTGGCATTAAGAGGTTAGTGTTAGGACTGGTCTGTCAGGATAATGTGACTGGGTGGGACATCATGCTACATCTCTGCTGCCCTAGTGTTTGACATCACTATATACTGCTGCATTACAGACAGACATCTACAGACAGACATCTAGTGAAATGACTGCAGAATTGTTAAAGCTACATTAAAAATCCATATCAGATACACACATATTTAGACTACCAGGTGTTGATGTACTAAATATGGCAACATTTTCTGTTCATAAGAGTAAATATCTCATCTCAAGCAATGTGGCTCTGTGTGAAGGATTGCCTATCCCATGGGTTGATGGTTTTTCCCAGGGATTTTCCTGACCAAATGAATGCACCATCATGATAGCCTATCATTGGCTGAAAAATTGTGCTAAATCCAACAACAAAGCAGGACCTAATGTTGAGATCAAGGTCATTCAGACCCATTGGTCAATTGTCTCCATAATCAAGCATGCCTTTTTAGTGTTCAACATATACTGTATAATCTACAGTACTATTAGGTCTATTTTTACTTTTTGGTAATTGTTTTAAAAAGGTCCTCATAACCTTGTAATTATCCAAGTGCCACTAGATGTCTTCGGCAATCATTTTATATCCCTGCTTTTGTCAGTCCTTCATAGTTTGTGTCAATCTCATCTGTACAGTCTCACCCATTCAATTCCAAATTTTGTGGTTCAGCTTTATTTTTTATAACCATTGCAATTAGTTACATTAGGACCTTCTCCTTGTAATAAGCAATTTACAGTTTCTCAGCTTTGTGAAATACATGTTATCTGTATGTTATAAAGATGTAATGTCACAGCATTTTGAGTAACCCAAGTTCACTCTATTCACCATTAAGGTAGGCCTCTGAGCTACATGAATTCAACATGTTGTAGTCCAGTCACAACATTATGATAGCCCACTGAGCTACACAAATTCAATATATTGTTGCCCATTCCCAGCATTATTATAGCCCACTGAACTACACAAATTCAATATATTGTTGCCCATTCCCAGCATTATTATAGCCCACTGAGCTACACAAATTCAATATATTGTTGCCCATTCCCAGCATTATTATAGCCCACTGAGCTACACAAATTCAGTATATTGTTGCCCATTCCCAGCATTATTATAGCCCACTGAGCTACACAAATTCAATATATTGTTGCCCATTCCCAGCATTATTATAGCCCACTGAGCTACACAAATTCAATATATTGTTGCCCATTCCCAGCATTATTATAGCCCACTGAGCTACACAAATTCAGTATATTGTTGCCCATTCCCAGCATTATTATAGCCCACTGAGCTACACAAATTCAATATATTGTTGCCCATTCCCAGCATTATTATAGCCCACTGAACTACACAAATTCAGTGTATTGTTGCCCATTCCCAGCATTATTATAGCCCACTGAGCTACACAAAATTAGTATAGTATTACCCAATCCAGCATTTTTCAGAAGCTATTTGTAGGCATAATCAGAGAAGTTTATTTCACTAGGTGCTCATTAAATTGACATCAGATAATTTTAGATCCATCATTTAAATTTAGATCCATATTTAGTAAAGTTGTATTAATTAAGTCATATGCAGATGTGAGTTTGTTCTTGATTTTCACTTCCTAGTTCATAAATCAAGTTAGTGTCAGTCATGATGGGTTATGCATAAAGATGTGTTTCAGTTAGAAACTAATTAAATAACTAGTGAAAATGATCAAGAATCTGATGCTTTGCTATTATTCCTTTTTAAGATTTGAGTGAAAATTAAAAAATGGTCAAGTTTGTCATAATAGGAGTCAAACAAGCATGATGATAAAAGTTATTGGAGATTTCAGGTCTTTTCTTTGGATAAAGGATGTTTGTGATAAAATTCCACATATGTTAAATGGATTTGGTGAATGAAATATAGTATTTGTATTTCTGTTTACTTTTTGTATGCCCATTTTAAGTCAGACATGTTAGGTTATGGCAGCCATCTTTACATCTGCATTTTAACAAATATTTATCCAGTGCAACACCATGTAACAGTTTGGCAAGATTTTCCCTAAATATACATCATGGCAAAACTTCTTTGCTTAATGTAGATATAACTTTGCCCTTTACCCAAGTTCATATCATGACAAAATATCATACCACATACTGTAGCCATGTTGCATATCTCAATGTCAAGGTCAAGGTGAAAGTGAATTTTGTCATTTATATAATTGCCTGGAATATAACTTTTAAACTACCTTTTAACTACTTTATATCTGTATAAAACTTTAATCAGCTATATACAACACATTTAACTGCAGGATATCAGTTTGTATTAGTTGTATTTTTAATGTTATGATGACACTATCAAGAATGCGTAGACAAGTAGAGATGCAGCAAGTATAAATGAGATTTATCAGTAATTGTTTAAATATATATTTATGTACAAGTACATGTTTTTATAAAGTGAAATAAACAAGTCAGTAGATGTATCCATTAATTTATTTCAGCTATTATTAAATATACATGTAAAGCTAGCAAAAACCTGTATTTAATATGATTGTAAAATAAAAATGGACATTTTAACTGGGAATGAAAGTATCCAGATTAACAAGGTGCCACTGCAGATATATAATTTTATGTGTAAACTATAAACAGTGTGACATAAAATAGCCATGCCTCTTGCCTCAAAGGTCAAGATCACTGTATTTGGCAATATCAGTGACTTATCCATATGTGTATAGTATTTTATACATTTTTGATAGTATAATGATGAAGGTTGTCTCAAGGTGTACAAAAAGTCACTGGCCAGTTTCCTTACCCAGGTTGCTGCTTTTAACTCGTACATATACATTTTAGTGAAGTTTCACTCAGATCCGAACCTAATCTTATGGATGAAAATTCCCAAGGTTGTAGGTCAAGGTCATTTGTAGGGAAAAATATCACAGCATTAATGTGTATATTTATGTACTCTTGTAACAAAGTAAAATAATAATTTCTTTTATAACACTATAATTGTATGTATGACTGTTTGTCTCTATTATATTTTATTATTTTGCTGATTCAGGTTTCATTAGAGACTCGTGTATCTTATAGATCCTGTCATATATATAGTTGTTGTGATTATGCATTGTTTTTGTTACCTAATGACATAATTTCTTATGAAGTTACGTAATGACCTAATTGTTATTTTAGCCTGTAAAGACATCCCTTTATTTCAAAACATTTTGTGCCTGAAGAAGCATATATTATATGCGAAACTTCGGCGTTTGTGTTGTTTTTTTTAATACCAACTATTGTAACAAAGGAATCACCAATGTATCAAAGATTAGGTCACATCACCCTGTGTTTGTAAATAGTTGATGCAGACAATGCACATGATTAATAAAAAATAACACTTAAATGTTTGCTTTGTAAATTTGCAAATAAAGCAGGTAGTCATGACATTTTTATTCTGCAAATTAACGTCTTTTGCCAAAATCTGGAGTTTATTGAGTTTTTAATCAACAAAATGAGGAATTTTTCAGAGAAGGATTCTAAAGTTATTATACGGGTAGATTTTTTTTATATTATGCTCTGCATGAACACCAAAAACAGACTGCTTAGATTTGTTAGAATTGATTAGTTAGGTGGGCTGTTTTAATTTTGAAAATGTGACCTCTGTCCATCATTTTGTGGAGAGAAAAATGTTGGAGCAATTGTCAGAAATAAATTGCTGAAAGGAGAAATTAGCAAGATTCTGAATGTTTTCATTGGGACAGGGCACATAGTTGGCCCTTGGACCTCTGTAAATTGTCACTGTATGCATTCCAGTGAGTACAAAAAGATGTATTTTATGACTGGATCTGGATAAATTCGAAGCTTCAATGATTTTGAATTTGGCACAGGTAATCTAATAAATTTATTTTAATCTCATTTTGTTACAGGTCTTCACAGGTAGACTGAAGAATGTTGATTGATGGATGGAGTGATACAGAATGCATCGATTTTTAGGTAGGTTATTTTAGGTTTGTCAATTACAAGTATTTGGTGGCCATTATAAATATTTTATGAATATTATAAGGTTTATATTCATTGTTTTCAGTCATTATTTGCATTAATTTACACATTTTTTTTAGTCTTTATACCAAAAGGAAGCCAAATGCTGTGACATTGTGTGTGAACATTAATTCAAGGAAATTTAATATTGTGAAAACCATCTATAAAAGATATTAAAATGAGCACACAATTTTGCACTTATGACCAGGTAAATTTAAAGAAAATGCCTGATAAACATTATAAATGAATATATTTCCTTCACATGGAATCTTCATTATGACATGTACTATAGTTTTGTCTTCAGGAATTATTAAGAATCAAGCACCAGTCAGAATGTTCTCTAGCACCAGTCAGAATGTTCTCTAGCACCAGTCAGAATGTTCTCTAGCACCAGTCAGAATGTTCTCTAGCACCAGTCAGAATGTTCTCTAGGACCAGTCAGAATGTTCTCTAGCACCAGTCAGAATGTTCTCTAGCACCAGTCAGAATGTTCTCTAGCACCAGTCAGAATGTTCTTGTGTATGGCAGTTAAGGGAGCAAAGTCACAATTAGATCAGTTATTATAGTTTTGTGCCAAGCACAACTAATTGTGGTTTTTATGAGGTACATATGAGTAATTACTAGGGTCAATTGAGGTAGCTTCTGCCTTTGGTTTTTTTTTATTGGACTGTGACACACCCAGAATGGAACCTTGAACATCAAGGTCACAAGTTCAGACAAGAAACTGTCAGCCTTTTCTAATTAGCTTTGCTACAGTAGGCTAATCAGAATGATCACCAATAAGTCAGAATTTGAATGAATCAAATCACAATATTAAATTTTTGTCCTTTCTTAATGGTTTTGTAATTCTAATACTTGGCATTTTGGCTTATTTGTTATGTCAACCAGTGCAGTAACAGGTTAATATTACATTTGGCTGACCTGTGT